TTTTTTCCAGATTTAATTCAATCGATTTGCTACATTTATTCGAAAAGAATACTTTAGAAAATGCCTCCACTACGCAGACGTAATACGGTTGGCAGGCATACGCGTGAATGCCCGAGGTAGAGCGGTGTACAGAGAGCGGCGTGCACAGTTTAGAGCTGAATCCGCAGACAATCAACGGCCAAATTATCGCCAAGGCAGAGTTCCGCTTCGTCTTCGCGATCAAATGGAACATGTTGGCTTTCACTACGATCCTGACTGCGACTACAGCCTGCATGGTTCCATTGGAGCAATGGATATTATTTGTACGCATTGCAATGCAGCGAAGTTTCGAGGAGAAACAGCTGGCATTGAAAACTGCCTGCATTGGCCCAAAAGTCATTAGAAGCATTCAATAGAACAATGCAAGATTTACGCCAAAATCAATAACTTTTTGGAGGGGCATTAGTATTATTATCCGGCGATTTCAGGCAAACTTTGCCAGTCATTCCTCGATCAACTCTTGCAGACGAAATAAACGCATGTTTAAAATCGTCAGTTTTGTGGAGACATGTTCAAAGGCTGACTCTTACCATCAACATGCGAGTCCAATTGCAAAATGATCGATCCGCAGCGGCGTTTTCGAAGCAGTTGTTGGACATTGGCGAAGGCAAAATACCAATCGATGATACCGGTTTGATCACATTGAACAGAACAACTTTTGTACACTTTTACAATCGAAAGAAGAATTGATTGAAAGTGTATTTCCGAATATTGTTCAACACTATCAACGCAATGATTACTTAAGTGAACGCGCAATATTGGCACCGAAAAATGTACACGTCAACGAAATCAATTTTGCCATTCAAGAAAAACTGCCAGGAGAAGCTACAACATATACATCGATTGATAGCGTTTTGAATCAAGATGAAGTAGTCAATTATCCAACTGAATTCTTTAATTCTTTGGATCCCCCCGGTCTGCCACCGCATCGTTTGGTCCTGAAAGTCGGTTCACCTATTATACTTCTACGAAATCTGAAGCCACCGACTTTGTGTAATGGCACAAGACTTTCAGTCAAAAAATTGTTTCCAAATTTGATTGAAGCAACCATACTAAATGGCAAGGCAGCAGGTGAAGTTGTACTCTTACCACGCATTCAAATGATGACGTTTCAATTTAAGCGCTTGCAGTTCCCAGTACGTCTTGCCTTTGCGATGACCATCAACAAATCGCAAGGGCAAACGTTTCGAGTGTGCGGCGTCAATTTGGCCGTGCTTCTCCCACGGCCAATTGTATGTCGCATGTTCGAGAGTGGGAACACCAAGGTGCTTATTCATTTACGCGCCAGGTGGAAAAACCTAAAATGTTGTATACCAAAATGTTATATAAATAAGTAATAGTTTTACAACAAGAAATAAAACACAAAGTAAAAACCCTTAAGAGTTTTAATCGATTTAGGTGGAGCAAAGCGCACCGGGTAAGAGCTAGTGGTAAAATAAAAACAAAAATAAATCTACAAATTTCTAGACTTCAGAGGTGCTATGACCATTAATATTACCTAATAATCACTCAGGGGACCTCTGACTTTTCAAATGACACCTCATTAGTAGCATTGCTTACATAGAAAAGTAGAAAAAGGGAGACTAACAAAAAAACACCTTAGAGAAATAATATATAAGGTTATTATTATACATACCATACAAAAATTGTAATTTAATGAAGTTCACAGGACTTTTTGTTTAACATTTTTATTCTTTTTAAATAATTTTGTTTTAATCTGAGTATAGGGTGCCCACATATTTTATGCGTGAAATCAGTACGTTAGATTTTTTCATGCTAAAGAAATCAGTAGTTTTCAGTACATTTTTATTCAAAGCAAAATTGAGCCATTCTTTTTTACGTCGGAGGGATTTCGTAAAAAATATTATGTCAAGTCTCCGATTCGCTTCAAATTTTTTTTTTGTTCTGTACATGAAATAAGCTAACACGTGTTCGAGGAAATTTTTTTTTTAATTTTTTTCTTCGGAGATATGATCTGTCAAATTTTGAATTTTTTCGTGTTTCTGACTAATCATGTACTTCTTCGAATCGTTATATCTCGCCTTATGCTCATTGTAGAGATTTCACCTTAACGTCGTTTTAAAGCTAAAGAAACGGTCTTAATATTTCTATATATAAGATGGTCAAGATTGTCCTAAAGCTAACTTAGCTATTAACAGCTGAACTTTTTGAAGTTGATTTGCATAGTTAAGACCGGTAAATTAGGGAGTTAAAAGTATACCATCGTAATCCTTGCTTAATTCTCTATAAAAAACGTGGTTCAAAAAACTGGGCTATTAACAGCTGAACTTTTTGAAGTTGATTTGCATAGTGAAGACAAGTAAATTAGGGATTTAAAATTCTACCATCGTAATCCTTGTTTAATTCTCTATAAAAAACGTGGTCCAAAAAATTGGGGGTTTTTCAAGAACTATTTTTAAAAAAAAATTCTATATGACGAGGCGGTTTATTTTGTGAGAATTAAAATTTTTTTGTAATTTGTTTCCGAAAACTTCTGTTGAGATATATTTAGTGAGGTGTTAAACATCGGACTTTTGCAAAAAGTAAAATTTTATTGTGGATTCCGATAGAATACCTATCCAGATATAATATTTGTACGGCAAGATTTTTTTTGTAAGGCGAGAAACCCCTAGAAATGGGCGTGGCAATTGCAGGACTAAAGTTAGCAAGACGCAGACTTTATTGCAGATTTCGGCAGAATATCGCTTTGTTAGCAACATCTGTTCCACAAATTTTTCGATCCATATAGATATTCTGGCGAAATCCACAATAAAGTCTACATTTTTGAAGTTTGGTTTTAATATTTATATCCATGGCCATTTCTAGAATATTCTTGGATTGAAAAATTTGTGGAATAATATTTGGTAACGAAGCGATATTCTGCCGGAATCTGCAATAAAATCTGCGTTTTGCTAACTTAAGTCCTGCAATTGCCACGCCTATTTCTAGGGGTTTCTCGCCTTACGAAAAAAATCTTGCCGTACAAATATTATATATGGATAGGTAATCTATCGGAATCCGCAATAAAGTTTTACTTTTTGCAAAAACCCGATGTTTAACACCTTACTAAATATATCTCAACATAAGTTTTCGAAAACAAATTACAACAAATTTTTAATTCTCACAAAATAAACCGTCTCGTCATATAGAAAAATATTTTAAAAATAGTTCGTGAAAAACCCTCATTTTTTGAACCACGTTTTTTATAGAGAATTAAACAAGGATTACGATGGTAGAATTTTAAATCCCTAATTTACTTGTCTTTACTATGCAAATCAACTTCAAAAGGTTCAGCTGTTAATAGCTAAGTTAGCTTTAGGACAATCTTGACCATCTTATATATAGCTTTAAAACGACGTTAAGATGAAGTCTCTACGATGAACAGAACCCGAGATATAACGGTTTGAAGAAGTACATGATTAGTCAGAATCACGAAAAAATGCAAACTTTGACAGCTCATAACTCCGAAGAAAAAAAAAATTCCTCGAACACGTGTTAGCTTATTTCATGTGTCGCACCCATAAAAAAATTATAAGCCAATCAAAAGTGTGACAAACAAATTTGGTAACAGATAATACTTTAAAACGCCAGAGTACTTGCTTTTAACAATATTTTGGTATATAAATAAAATATAGCTCATAAAAAATAAAAGTGAGTGCACACATCATAATAAATAATTATATATTTATGACATTTTTGAATAGCAATAATGAGATCATTTCCATCTTAATTGTTCAAATAGTCAAAGAATTCTATACATTTCATTTTAAAATTACTTTAAAAAATTTAACTAGAAGCTGACTTCAACTTCAACAAACTTTATACTTAAGATCCTCTCAGTTGCTTCGTTTGAGTATGGTGTTGAGAAAAAAAAACAAAATTACATATTTTTTCAAACTGCAAAAGTACCACTATTTAGTGATTTCATCTATGCAAGACTAAGAATTCGCTAAAAAGAATATCTAACTCTATGTCTTTTATGAAAAACTATTTTACAATGTCAATAATTTGTGAAAAAAGAATTGTAAGTTATAGGCAAAAGCCATTAGAATATTCAAATTTGCTGTTATTAAACTGAAAGTTATTTTCGAGATAATTAACAACACTTACAACACAAGTAATTAAAGTGGATTAAAAGCTGGTATTAAAAGCTGGCGGAATTCGGGGAGTCGATACTCACCCCTCAGTGGAAATTAATAGAGACAAAAGCCATGTTGTTGCGTAGAATAAAGAAGTTGTGAGCATCAAATCGGGACTATTCATTTGAAAGCAATTGAGTCACCATAGGCCGGTAATACAAAATCATTGCACGTAAGTCAGCCACTTTCTTGCCACCATCCATTTGAAACGAGCTATCCATCAACCGTAAATAAAGATTCCTGTTTGGACCGTCAAACCAAGGTCAAGCAAATCAGAAGTGCAAGTGTGAGGAAGCTAGGACTTACCAAACAACAACAAAAAAATTGCTAAATATCAATGGTAAGTCCTTGCTACCTCAAACTTACACTTTGTTATACTAAAATTGAATGGGCTAATAACTGAGTACTTAACTTTTTTCTAAAGAGTGTAAATTGCAATACTTGGATGGAAATTCGCGGAGTTTTCTTTAATTTTGCATAAGGTTTGGAACTCTGATATTTGGGGTTTTTGGTGTAGAATTAACCATATTTTTATAAAAAGATAGGGAAAAATAAAATATTTAAAAAATAGTTGCCGGTATTGTAAAACCTTCACTGTACCTAAACTTTATTGACTGACTGTATATCTTATTTAAGTTAAGTACGACAAAAACTTTCGAAGTACTTCATGTACATATAAGCTTAAAAAGAACTGAATTTACTTAAAAATCAATATGCTTAAATTTAGACAAGTAAGACAAAGTGAACTAATATTTTTACTTCTAAGCAGAACGCACTTTTATTTTTTACTTACTACTTAAGTTGAATACTACTACTACTACTAATGTGGTTTATAAATTTTTAATAAATGCGTTTAAACATTTGTGATTGTATTGTCCTTCCTTC